CACCAAGACTTTGCAGTACAAGTTTGCTTTCTCTATTTTTAGAAGGCACATCTATCATCATTTTCTTTTTCCTGTCATGGTAGGTTTATTTTACAGCCAGCAAGGGGGCCAACTACATTTGTGCTTTTTTACCATTAAAAAGCAAAACTCGAACAATACTTAACAAGTGGCAGACATTGGTAAACAGGAGCACATTGGATCCTTGGGGAAATGGCAGAGGAGCTGTTCAGGGTGCTGATTCGGACTGCTTACAGCACGGGTAGGCAAACTAAGGCCTGGGGGCCGGATCCGGCCCAATCGCCTTCTCAATCTGGCCTGCAGACGGTCCGGGAATCAGCGTGTTTTTACATGAGTAGAATGTGTCCTTTTATTTAAAATGCATCCCTGGGTTATTTGTGGGGTATAGGAATTCATTCATTCCCCCCACAAAAAAATAGTCCGGCCCCCCACAAGGTCTGAGGGACAGTGGACCAGCCCCCTGCTGAAAAAGTTTGCTGACCCCTGGCTTACAGTGTCTGCTTACAACACACAAATAGCCAATGTTAAATGTTTTTTGTTTGTTTTTTACCCAGGAATTCAAGTCAGTGACTAGGCGGTGGGGGAAGGGAAAGAGGTTAACATGAGTATCAAATGCTGCAAAGTGATCCAGCTGAAGTGGTGCAGTATGAATAGAGGACTAAGATGAATTTTTAAACAGTTGGTACAGAGGCCATAACACTGGTAAGGCTGGTGTTTCCCGTCCCCAAAGGATCACGCATGATGATCGTTTGAGAACTGTTATTTTTATGTTTTATAATTAGGCTGATGGTACAATTTGTCTAGTGAGGTTATGATACTTTTTTTTGTTAACCATAACAGTTGCAGCCCTTGCAGCCCTAACACCAGATGAAAGTTGTTCATCCCTTAGGCTCCTACATCCAGATAAGTATTCCTCTTGGGGTGACTCAGCGCTTTGAGTAGCTTGATATTTTATCATAATACGTGAGGATATTAGATTATAGATTTTTATAGCTCTTCTGGAACATTCATCATGGATGGAATCTGATGCTGCAACCCGTTATTAGTCCTCAGGGATGTTCTACATAACGCTGAAGGGAGCAAAACAATTTATCGTTGGCATAATTCCAGCGACAACATGGCAAAAATGTAAGATGGAATAGAATAAAATTAGCCTCTATATTGTCTGACTCAATAACAAATTCCAAAAAAATCTGTTCCTTGAAGATTTCTTTTAAATGCTTCTTTGCTAGCTTTCTACTTAGCCATTTGCGAAGAAGCGAAGTCTTTTAAACTATGTAAAGTTAAACAATGCTCCCTGCCTTCCCCAAACAATCATCATAATGCTCAGCATATATAGATGAGCAGGGATGTATAGCTAGCCATAAACACACACACAACCTCATCTAAGCAGGCAGGGACTGAGTCTGGGAGACAATGGCTCACCTATGGCCACCTAGTGAGCAAATAAATCAGAATCCTGACAAGCTGGGGATACTGTGGTTCCTGTGTCTGGGAATCAGGTGTGATTCTGGGTGGTTTGCACTCCCCTTGAAGGAACAAGTATGTAATTTGGAAGTAATCCTGGATCCAGCATTGTTGCTCAAGGCCCAGGTGGCCTTGGTGACGACAGCCTTTTCTCAGCTTCTGTTAGTTCACCAACTACATCCATTCCTGGATAGGAATAGCCTGGCAAATGTTGCCCATTTTCTGGTAACCTAGGATTGTAATGTTGTATGTGGGGTTGCCTTGTAAGGTTACATGGAACTTCAATTAGTGCAGAATGCGGCTGCCAGAATTTTGAACAGAACAAACTAGAGGGATCGCATTATACCTGCAATGGAATCCCTATTTGCTTACACGCCCAATTCTGGGTGCTGATGCTCACTTTTAAAGCCTAAATGGCATGAGACCTGAAAACCTGCAGAAGAGCCTCTCCCTGTATCAGTCTCTCCTCCATCAGTTGTGTGAGAGAGAAAAGAGAATGCACAATAAAGTAACAAGTGTGCAAGGTACAGGGTATTCTAATAGTTTCCCTCATTTTCTGTTACAATAATACGCTAGAAGTGCAATACAGTCATATCTTGGGTTAAATATGCTTCAGGTTGAGTGTTTTCAAGTTACGCTCCGCGGCGACCCAGAAGTAACGGAGTGCGTTACTTCTGGGTTTCGCTGCTCGCGCATGTGCAGACGCTTAAAATGACGTCATGTGCATGCACAGCGAAACGCGACCTGCACACAGGCAGACGTGCAGTCGTGTGTTATGTTCTACTCAGGATGCGAACGGGGCTCTGGAACGGATCCCGTTCACATCCAGAGGTACCACTGTATTATATTTCTTTTTGCAGAAATGTTTTCATCTGTTGTACAGCACAGTTGTCTTTGATAATGTTTAGTGGCCTATAAATCTTCCAAATAAATAAATAAATGCCTCAGAGATTAATGTGTCCTTTGATTCACAACTTCGCCTATTAAAATGGGTGCCTAGTTTATTACTCAACTGCAATTTTAGTTCATTTATCTACCAATTAAACCTTGGAGCCATAAATATTTGGCTTTGAAAATACTGGGTGGGGAGGCAGAGATGATGCTATATCCAAAAGGGGGCAGATCAGCCAGCCAGATACTGCATGTTTTAATTAAAATATTTAACTGTTCTGACTCAAGTACATCAATCCAATTGCAGCTCACCCCCATTTTTGTCCTTCCCATTTGGCATGCCTTCTCCCCAACTGCAGTGTCTGCCAGATTGGCTAGACTATGAGTCCATCTGCATACTGTAATGTAAAGTAAACATGAGAGTTAACTGTATCTGATAATAGCAGGGTCCAGAATATATGGACAACCATGCCCATCAGAGCACCGGAAAGTTTCTGGTCACACAGATAATTTCAACAGGAATTCAACAGCAGAATTCCAGTTCTAGGCTGCTTGGCCAGGATCAATGAGCAATGGAGATGCTGTAATTTCTGAAGGATTTATATCAGCATTTGGCAGCAATTCACGGTTTGCAGCAGAATGGCAGGTTTAATTAAAAAAAGAGTCTAGCACATATTGTTATTTCCGAATGTTTACTTTAAAAGAAATTCTGTAGAAAATGTACTTGTGATTGAATCCCTATTATAATCCCCATTAGCTTTAAATTGAAAACTACTTCCAAGCTACCAATCTTTTTCAGCTGTCCCACTCTCCCTCATTCATACTGGAGTGGAGAAACATGGAGCATCCACGGTGCTGCCTGAAGGAGCTCCTCCCCAAAAAGAACTACCGTATTTTTCACTCTATAAGACGCACCAGACCATAAGACGCACCTAGTTTTTGGAGGAGGAAAACAAGAAAAAATATATTCTGAATCTCAGAAGCCAGAACAGCAAGAGAGATCGCTGCACAGTGAAAGCAGCAATCCCTCTTGCTGTTCTGGCTTCTGGGATAGCTGCACAGCCTGCATTCGCTCCATAAGACACACACACATTTCCCCTTACTTTTCAGGAGGGAAAAAGTGAGTCTTGTAGAGCAAAAAATACGGTATCTAACAGATGCCCACACAGCCCAGAGTCCACACTTACTTCATAGCCTTGGGCTTTTGAAGCAGAACACATTTCTGTTCATGGAAACCCAATCCAAAGAAGGACCCGTGCCTAGAAGCGTATTTCATGGCATTAATCCTTCTCAGTGCACTGGGGAGCAGGACTTCAACAACACAAAACAAGAAGCAAATAAAAGACAAAATAGACCTTCTACAATCTGTCAAGGCAGCTTCTGGATTGAAGCTGAACCTCAGTGTCTCGGTGTCTCACTGCATAAGGATTCTAGTTACGGACAATCCCCAGCACTTAAAATTAGCAGTTTTGTACAAAGCAGAATCTTCCTGATTTCACAAGCCTCACATAATATTGAGGGTATACTTTGGATTGACCTAAAAATATAAAGTGTGACTGTGACACACACACACACACACACACACACACACACACGCAATATCATACAGGCATGTGCATCAAGGCTGGTTGATTTGTTGGCAAACTGAGGTGTCTCCAGTATAACACACGACATGGTTCTCTGCTGTTCATGTGATCGTTAAACTTTCCAAGATGGTCTCAAGCTACTCTTTCAAGTTGTTTGAATTAAAAAAGGAACAATGGTTTTTTTGGTTCAAGTTTCTCTCTCGGTAGGGAAAATATATCATCTTTGTGAGAGCCAGTGTGGTGTAGTGGTTAAGAGCGATGGACTCGTAATTTGGGGAACCGGGTTCGCGTCTCCGCTCCTCCACCTGCAGCTGCTGGGTGACCTTGGGCCAGTCACACTTCTCTGAAGTCTCTCAGCCCCACTCCCCTCACGGAGTGTTTGTTGTGGGGGAGGAAGGGAAAGGAGATTGTTGGCCGCTTTGAGACTCCTTCGGGTAGTGATAAAGCGGGATATCAAATCCAAAACTCTTCTTCTTCTTCTCATTTTCCCATCTAAGAATCACCACACAAACTCCTGGGAACCACTTTTGCCAGTTAATATTTTCCTGGGGAGATGGGGGAAGCGGGTGGGTGGACATCTTTAAAAACATTTCTTCTTAGTACATGTTAGTTCAGGGTTTTATTTTTAAATCCGTCAACTGAAGTCAGATTTGGCTTTAGCAGCAGATGCAGCTACATCTTAGGGTTTATCTCCTGCCAATAACCATGGGAAATAGATTAAAGCCTACATAATTGACATGCCTTTAAATTTTCATTCCAAGTGCACTGGCCTTATGGGGTGGGGGAGAATTATTTCTGTCTCTTACTTAATTTGAATTGAATTTACCTCTAGGGGGAAAGTTTGCAATATTGAACGTGGCAAGAGGATTTAGCACTGTACAACCAAGTGCAAGACTACTCAGAAATAAATCCCACTAAGTTCAACAAACTTACACCCAGCTACATATGCACAAGACTACAGGACTAAGAATCACAGAGTTGGAACGGAAGGGACCATGAGAGTCATCTAGTCCAACCCTCTGAAATGCAGGAATCTTTTACCCAACATGGGGCTCGAACCCACAGCCCTGAGATTAAGAGTCTCATGCTCTACCAACTGAGCTGTCTGTAGGACTTAATAAGGACAGAAAAGGTAAAGTCTGAGGAAGGTAAAGAGCTTTCCTTACAACAGGCATGGGAAACCTGTGACTTGAGAGGAAACCCAGGATTGTTTGAAAACCACTGCCCTAACATACCGTATTTTTCTGTGTTTAAGACGCCCCCATGTATATGACGACCCCTATTTTTTTTAACCCAAAATTAAGAAATTAAGTTGTTAAGCATTTTTTGGGGTGTGGGGGAGGCCACTTCCGCCAATCGCTCACCCGCCTGCCTACCACTGCTGATCACTTGCCACAGCCATTGCTGATTGCACACCTTGCTACAGCCGCCAATCACCTGCCCAATTGCCGCAGCCAATCACACGTCCCCCCTCTGCATTCGCTATCCGTGTATAAGAGGACACCCAATTTTTGCCTATTTTTTTTTAGCAAAAAGCATAGTCATATACATGGAAAAATACGGTATGCAAAGCTGCAAGCTACTGTCTATTAACTGAAAAAGGCAATTACAGAAACTGTAGTGAAACAATGTAATATGCCAAAACCCAGGTCCTATTTGCAGCAGACAAAATCGTTCGCACATCATGCTCACTTATAAAGAGAACCATTACAATGGACAAAAGCATTAGTCATGCTAAGAACTGATGGAAATTTTTCTTCTCACTACTGATTTTTGTATAGGATCCATGTAGATGCTATGGAAACAGATATTATTGCAATCATACAGATCCACAAAACGAGGCTAAAGTAAGCTTTTACTAGGATTTAATCTTCCTCCTTTTTTTAAAAAAAAAGCTGCGACTCTATCATATAGCACAATATAGTTCAGAGAGGACAGATGAGCTCACGAAACAATATGCAAACATCTGGGATTATGTAATCCAGATGACGGTACTAATATATGGGTCAGAAAGACTTAGGTTTAAACAGCAAGAGGCACAGGAAAATAATGTGGTTACATGTACTTAAAGACAGTTTCATTCTCCCCGTTTCATTTATTTTATTTTACTAACAGGATGCTATGGTCTACGAAACCTGTTTAGCAGCCAGGAGGTGGGGGACGAGCAGAGAACGTTTTGTAGCACATCCATGTAGCTACTGCAAATCTAGAGCCTCTGGAGAAAAGGGCGTTGGCTTTTTGCTTCGTTGTGGCATCATGACAAAGAAGTGAGCCACTGCACAACCAACCCACTTTGAAGCAGATGCTGTTTGCCTTCTGCTTGTGGCAGCTATCTGGTTCATGCGAATGCATGCAAGGGCCAAGAACTGGCGCACGCACAGAACCCACTAAATGTGGGGTGGCATGAAAAGGATCTTTGGAGCCGTATGTGCTTTCCCAATGTGTTTACAAAGATCTTCTGCTATAGACATTATACACATCGTATATTTTCCACCCACCAACTATGGTTTTCCCAGTAGTGATGTATGGAAGCGAGAGCTGGACCATAAAGAAGGCTGATTGCCGAAGAATGGATGCTTTTGAATTCTGGTGCTGGAGGAGACTCTTGAGAGTCCCATGGACTGCAAGAAGATCAAACCTCTCCAGTCTTAAGGAAATCAGCCCGGAGTGCTCACTGGAAGGACAGATCCTGAAGCTGAGGCTCCAAGACTTTGGCCACCTCATGAGAAGAGAAGACTCCCTGGAAAAGACCCTGATGTTGGGAAAGATGGAGGGCACAAGGAGAAGGGGATGACAGAGGACGAGATGGTGGGACAGTGTTCTGGAAGCTACCAGCATGAGTTTGACCAAACTGCGGGAGGCAGTGGAAGACAGGAGTGCCTGGCGTGCTCTGGTCCATGGGGTCACGAAGAGTCGGACACGACTAAACGACTAAACAACAACTGCATCCAATGGGGTGTGCTGGGTGTTTAGGGGATGGGGTAGTACCTCTGGTGCAGAGATGGAAGTGCTTGGTGACTGCTTAGTGACTGGCAGCCTAGAAAAACTCAGGAAAGATATGAGTCGTCGTGGCAAATAGATGGACAGATTGACGTGGAACCTCCAAGACCAGAGGCAGTATACCTATGAATAACAGGTGTTGGAAACGCACTACAGGGGAGGGCTGTGCCTTCACGCCGTGTTTGTCAGCTTCCTGGGGGCATTTGGTTGGCTTGTGTAGTAAATAGGATGCTCAAAGTAGGTAGAACCCCGGTCTCAATTGGCAGGGCTTTTTGTTTTTGTTTTATCACCTTCACATCTTAGAAATTACAACTGTTTTGAGGTCCCCTGAATAAAAGGATAAAAGGTACAGAACACAAGTTGATCTTGGAAAGGCGATGTGTGTACATGTTCCTGAATGTGGAGCCCCAAAGAGTTCATGCGCTCGTGTACAAAGATCAAACTGCAATTTCAGCTACGACTTCAAGCCTGTTAACAGGCTTGGACTTTGTAAACAGACCGTATCAACTCAATGACTTCCCCACTTAGGTTTACTTTTCATTAATTAGTAGAGATTAAGCAAGCATACAGGTGACCGCATCTGAACTGCACAATGGTGTATTAGGGAACACATTGATTACTTCCTGGCTGCCAGCACTTTAAATCCACATAGGAAATATCAGTGAGCTGGATGATTTAAAGAGTCCCTCTTACTACATCCACAGCCAAAGTTACATACGCATATGCACACAGTGTGTAGCATATTGACAATGAAGCACTGCTCCACTGAGCCACATTAAAGTAGTCACACATAGAAGAATATAAGCTCTCAACATGCCAAAGAAAATTATTTTTTCATCTCCAAGATGGCACTGCCTGGACCTCTGTGTTTGGCACTGCAGATGTTACAGAAGTGTACTGACGAATCCTGAAAACAAAAACAAAACAATATTGGTTTTGTAAATCGATTGCATATTATTTCTAGGCACATTTGTGCCAAAATACATGCACATGGCCAAAAACAAATAGACTATGGCTAAGATCCAAAGAGCTATGCCTAAGAGCTTATGTGCAAGTAGTGCAATTTTGAGCATTTCCCCCAAGGACAGCCTTATTCTCCATAGATTTGTCTGATCCTCTTTCAAAGCCATCCAAGTTGGTAGCGGTAAAAAGCAACACTATATTATATTAACATTCATTGAACATCAGCCTCCCATGCCATATAACACCCTAGTTTTGGAAGTGGTTTGCTGTGTGGCATAGTAGCTTCCAGTGGTACCAACCTGAATAAAATATTGGGGGGGGGCAGGTAAGCTCCGCCCTGCATAATTGATCACAACACCCACACCCCATTTGAATGGCAATGCCCCTTAACTTTCAGGGGCCTTGCCCCCTCAAATGTATTCTTGGGAGTTGGCTTCCATGGTGGCTTCTGTTTGAGAACTGTTAAGTCCAATGATCCCTTAGGCTCCAATAATACCGTATATACTCGAGTATAAGTTGACTTTTTCTGCACATTTTTTATGCTGAAAAAGCCCCCCTCAGGTTATACTCAAGTGAGGCGGGCGGTGGTGGGGGAGGGAGGAGTGGCCCGAAAGGAGCCCTTTCTCACCACTGGTCCTGCTGCCGCCCGCCTCTCGCAAGGATAGGCACAGGAGGCGCTGCGCCTCTTCCAACCGTGGCTCCTATACCTGCTCTTGTGAGCTGCAGAGGCAGGCAGCGGCCGAGGGACGAGCAGCGAGAAAGGAGCCCTTTCGGGCTGCTCCTTCCTCCTCCGCCGCCTTTGCCGCTGTCAGCGGCAGAAGAGGAGGAATGAGCAGCCCAAAAGCAGCCCTTTTGGGCTGCTTGTTCTTCCTCCGCCGCTGCCACCACCACCAGGTTTGTGGTGTGGTGAACCGGCTTATACTCGTCAATAAGTTTTCCCAGTTTTTTGTGCTAAAATTAGGTGCCTCGGGTAATAATCGGGTCGGCTTATACTCAAGTATATACGGTACATGGTTATTTGGATGCTAACCTATCTGTGCAATAGGCCTATGGAAGGTATTAGTTTTTAGGGATTTATATAATGCTTACATGCCACATAAAAAGAAGATTATGGCAGTTAAGTAAATATAATTTTAAAACAGATACTGCTGCTGCCTTATAGAAAACGCAGTTAAGTTTCACACATTCTGTTTTGCTCCATTTTCTTGTTTTAATATTTCACTATTTTATTGCTGGCTATTAGATTAAATTGCTATTGTTAAAATTGCATTTTATTCTTTTGCTATATGATGTGAGCTGTCTTGAGCAAGCCTGCATTGTTAGAATTCCTGATCTATGATTGCAGTCATGGGATTTTTGTCTTTCACATGATGGTATATGTTTTGACTCCACAGAGTGGGAAGTGACGGAGACAGGATGTTTGTGTTACTGTGTTCCATGAAGTGGGACTACTGTATTGCCTTTTGTCCTTTATCTCTTTGCTGTCTGATGCTAGAGAGAGAGAGGGAGCCATGTTGCAGTGCTCCGTGTGTGTTTATATGTAAATAAAGCCGATTAGCCAAAATGCTGAGTTGCTGAGGTCTGTTACACTTGATGCGCAAACTCTGCAGATCCCTAAGTGTGCTGGTGTTGGTTGGCATCAGTCGCTGTGATGTTCAGGCAGAAGAAAGCTTTTGAAGCTCCTGAACGAACAACCAGGAGGGAGGGAACATGCCAGTTGGGCATGTGTCTCTACCAGGGTCCTACTCAAGTGTAGGCTGAACTCCTGACATGCATAGCCTGGAAAGGCAACATACATACTTAAACAAAAAATGAGCATTGGCTGTGTTCACTCAATATATTGTATTTTTCGCCCTATAGGACGAACTTTTTCCCCTCCAAAAATGAAGGGGAAATTGTTAGGATATTTCCGTTCCACCTTAAAAGGGAGCAGGCTTTGTGAGTCACAGAGTCTGCGCATTTCCTGTTCACAGGAAGTTTATGTTTTCTATTGCTTTCGTTTCTCTCTGTGTGCCAGAGACACTGAAGCTGGCAGTAATGTTTTTTCTTTGTTCTGACCAACGCTGAATAAACTTGTAAATATGCTCTCCTGCGTGCATTTTTCGCTGTGAATTATCTGCTGATAGAGCGTGCATCGGCTCT